GAGAGAGAGAGAGAGAGAGAGAGAGAGAGAGAGAGAGAGAGAGAGAGCACAGGGCCAGGCATGGCATACTTGGTCATCAGTGGGAGCAAAAAAATGGTGAAGAGCAGCAGGGGCTGCAGAGTTCAGGGAGCTAAAAGGGCATAGATGGGGGAGATAAGTAGGTGGGAGGAGTTGTGGCCATAGATGTGGATGGGCTCTCAAGCATCCAAGTGTTGGTCACTTGATCATGGGATGCTGCAATGTGGTTTTTTGCTGCCCACACCCTGGCGACGGGCAGGGTCTGAGTTCAGAGCCCTGGACCTCTCATGGTAAATGAATAAACACACGGACACAATGTTTACTCGGGATGAAAAGGCCCTGAACAAAAGGCAGGTACCTCCTTTTATTAGGTTGCTTGCAAGCGTCATAGCAGGAACAGGGAATTTTTCCTTATAAGGTAATCTACATAATTATGCTAATACAAAACTATACCATTGCTGGGGTCTTATCACCTCTGCTCTTAGCCCTGCCCAGTTACTTTCTTCTCCCACATAACTTTCGTTTCTCCTTCTCCCATAACTTTCATTTCTCCAGCCAGCGCCCCTCCCAGCCAGCATTCCACAAGGTTGACCACTGCAACTTTTAGCATCCATTTATTGTAACAGTTGTATATTGCAACACTGCAACATCTGTAACTTCAGAGACTGGACACGTCCCTTTATTCAACAATGTTGTGACTTGACTACCTGTAACATTTGGGTGAGGAGCAGTTGCCACAGTATGTGGGTAGTCCTCAATTTATGATCATTATGTTGTTTTAACATGTTTTTAGTTGTGTCCATCTATAGAATTTTTAACAAACACGTGGACTTCTAAGTGTTTATCTACTGAAGTCAAAGGTAAAGCTGTGTGTTTAGTTTGTGAAATACGGATTGCTGTGTTTGAGGATTACAATTTGAATCCCTACTAGGAGACTATAAACACAGAGAAGAAATACAACAGCTTGACTGATGCAGAGTGGCACTGGCATCTGATGCTTTGCTAGCTAAGCTGGAAAAAGAACAAGGAATTTTTTTTTTGCCAAGCCTCACACATCCAGGGATGGAGCAGTCAAGAACAGTTCTGTAGTATCTCAGAAAATCACAAAAAACAGTAAGTCATTTTTTGATGGATAATTTATCAAAGAGTGTTTGGACTCTACAGCGCTACTGTGTCCCAAGGGGGAAAAAACGGCATTTGAGAATGTGCCCCTCTCCAAATGAACTGTAGCTAAAAAGATTGAGGGCATTGCAGGAAATCTGGAGTTTCAGCTGCCAAACAAAGCAGATAATTTTGACTTCTTGGTTTTGGATGAGAGCCTCGACAGGACATACAAAGCTGCCAGAGTCTGACTCGACTCAACATCTTCCACTCCTGCGGGGTGCTTATTTACATTTGATTCCTAATTTCCAATTGACCTCACATAGGCCAGGCAGGGATGGCCAAAGGGCTGGATATGTGGCCTAGGGGACTATACAAAGGCCAGATCATGAGAAATTTGCAGTTTCTTTCAAGCCAAGTGGAAGCCAACATTTTTACCAACTTGCCAACGCTAAAGGAAGCCACACCATCAGCTGATCAACTCCGCAGGTACTCATCCGTGTTATTAAGTGCGCTGCGTGGTGAGTTTCCAAGGCAATTGCAAGATTTCAGAATAGTTGAGAATAAAATGCACATGATTTTTCTCTCACTTAACCTGCAGTGTGGATAATACACCCAGCAACGTTCAGCTCGAACTCATTGACCTGTTGTCTGATACACTATTGGCAGAGCACTTTTAAGTCAGTATCACTGCTGGGTTTTTATTTTTCTCTCAAAGAGGAAAACTTTCCACACATGAGGAGGCATGCTGAGAAGATGTTAATTCTCTTTGGATCTACTTACAATGTGAACAAACATTCTCAGTGATGAAGTTCAACAAGTCCAGATAGAGAGCTTCTCTCACTGATGGTCACCTGTCAGCTGTCCTTTGCATATCAACCTCAGACATTCAACCAGACTTCAGTGCCCCTGTTCTGTCCCAAGACAAGACAGACTTTTTCCTCACTGAACAAGAAAAAAGAACTGAAAAACATCAAAAGCACTTACAGCTTTTTGTATAAAGTTAATTAAATGCAGGTCTTTTAACACAGGGGTCCCCAACCACCGGGCCGTGGACCGGTACCGGGCCGTGGAGCACTCTCTACCGGGCCGCAAAGAATTTTTTTTTTTAAAAAAATGGCGGCTTTCTTCACCTTCGGTGAATGCTGCTGGGATTGGGGATCAAGGACACAAATGAAAGAAGGGGAGGGAGGAAGCAACCGAAGCCTGTCCTTCTCTCTGGGTCAGCTCTCTCAGTCGCTCTCTCGCTCCTCCACCAGCCCAGGAAGAAACTG